GTGTAAAAATATTAATTGGTTCATAATATTAATTTAATTTTTAAAGCAATATTTTATATATTTTATTGTTATACTATTTTTATATTAAATATTAGAAATTAGAAATTTCAAATAAAAAATAAAAAATTATTTTTAAAGTTATATAAATAAAATAATATATATTACATTATTTTTATTTATTCCAATAAAAAATTATTTTTGTAAATTAATAAAATTATTATATTAAATAAATATAAAAAAAATAAAATTAAATTGTTTAAAATTATTTGCTTCAATAAATAATAAATTTATTAAATTAAGAAATAAATTATTTGTTATTATTTTTCTATAAAAAAATAAATACTGTACTTAATATTATATCCCCATTATTTTAATTAGTTTATTTTATTTTTAAAAGTTTATATAATTAGAAACAAATAATAATTTTAAAGATTCGTCTATTTTTTTATTTAATAAAAAATAGATTAAAGGTTTTAAATTTTTTTATAAATATATTATTAGAATAAAATATTAAACTATTGATTAGTAGTTTTTTGTTTTAATTAGAAAATACTTTATACTTTTTATATTTTATATGTATTATTTTAAGCTTATATAAAAATAATAATAAAAATATTTTTTTGTTTTCATAAATATAGTTTTATTTACTAAAATTTTTAATGTTTTTAAGCTTATTTTTATTTTATATTTCATTTAGTCATTATTAATTTATATTTATAATTTAAAATATATCAGTAATGTAAAAAAAAGCAGCTAAAATATAATTTATTAAATAAATATCATATAATTATCAATATATCACATTTTAAAATAATAGAACACTATTCTTGAGATTTTTCAAAAATATTAACTTAAACTTTGAAATTCGAAAGTTTGAATAAGTAAACTATAAGTTTATATATAAAATTTAGAATACAAGAAATTGCTAACTACCCTAAAAATTTATTGAACAAAAAAAACTTATATATATTTGTTTAAAAAAAACTAGAGAATAGTTTTAAGTATAAATAAAATTAAGTTTTATTTAAAATATTTTTAGTTTGATTTCGAATTCATTCTTAATAATTAAATATTTAATTACATATAGAATTTCGTATTTAAATTATTAGAGTAAAACCTTAAAAAATTTAAATATAAATATTTTTAGATTAATAATGTAATTATTATATAATTTAACAAAAATAAAATTTTAATAACTTTTTAGAAAATATGCTATATTATAATTAAATAATCAGGAATATTTATAAAAAACACATTAGAAATAGTATTTTTTTTTAATATTAATAGAATAAATAAATAAACTTTTTTATATATTAAAGAAAACTTATTTTAAAAATGCTTAATTTTTTTTAAACATATACTTTATTATATCTATACTCACTAGTTTTGTTATATTATTAATTATTTTATATTTTTATTTCCAAATATAATTAAAAAAAAAGTCTTATAATTTAAAAAATTTTAAATTTTATTAATTATAGATTTTTTATTATAAGAATATATTTGTTTCAATTATATTAATTCTATAAATTATTGTATCGATTTACATCTTCCTTAATTATTAATACTTATTTAATATCAATTAAACAAAAATATATTTAAGGATTTCGATTATAAAATATAAGATAATATTTTTTTATTATATTAAAGTAAAATACTTTAAATTATATTTATCAAAAATATTTTTTTTTCTTTATAAAATATGATAATATATAAAGAATATATATTTATAACATTTATATTATAAATAAACTTATATATTTTTTTATTTAAATATTCTACTTTAAAAAAAAAAATACACATAAAAATAATATTAAAATCATTTTTTAAAAAATATCCAATTGCTTATCTATATTTTTTAAATTATATTTTCTTTTTATATAAACATAAACATATTTAATTAAATATAAAATAAATATTTATAAAATAATATTTATAAATTATATATAATTTATTTAGTTTTCAATATAATTTAATATTATGATATTGATGAATTATACTATATTTATTTTATTTTATAATTAAATAAAAAAAAAAATTCTAGTAACAAATATTTTCAATAAAAACTTCATTTTAAAAATTTTTTATATCCTTATAAATTATTTAGTAATAAAAAAGCTATATTTATTTAATTTTATAATAATCTAATATTAATAATTATAAAATAAAATTTAAAATTTATAACATTTATTTTTTTATAATTTTTTATACTGAATAATATAATATTTAAATTTATTTTTTAATAAAATATCTTTGTAAATATTTTAATAAAATATAATAAAAATCAAAATAAAATAATATTTCTTCTTCTCTTATATAGAAATATATTTTTTCATTCTGTCTATAATCCAACATAATTAGTTGCCCCATTAGCAAGTGCTGTACTAACAATACAACGTTATATTGCATTTATAAATTCCGTAAATTAAAAAAAAAAAAAATGAAAAATAATATTTTAATAATTTTGATTGTTTCAATCCAGACAAGTCGATGATGGAGGAAATCTGCTAATTGTTACAATTATAAAATAAACTTTTACTATAATAATATTGTTGCTTTCAATACTGGTGTTAGTATATGTATTGCTTGCCCATAACCTAAAGCTGTTGATGTTTAACTAATCCAGATGGTGCTGCTAATATAGCCAGATTATTTAACAGTTAATGCCCTGATGGTACTGCAATTACTAGTGGACCAACAAATATTATAGCAGCAATCTAAGAATGTGTTAATAGTAGACATCAATTTTTCAAAAATGGTGCTCCACTTTTTAATGAAGGCGTTAATACATGCACAGTTTGTCCGGCAAACAGAGCTGATGGTAGTATAGTTACTTTTGGCATTGTTGCTACTATAGTATATAATAAATTAAATAAATAATAATAATTTATATAAATTAAAAAAATTAATTTAATATAGATATTTAATATCACATTGATTATAACTTTAATGATATATAATTATTTATTTTATAATATATTTATTAAATAAAAAATCATAAATTAATATTAAAAAATTAATAATTTATTATTTTTCAAAAATAATTAATTAAATATTCATTTATAAAATTTATTTTTATTTATAATAAATCTAATATAAAATTTATAATTATTTTATTGCTTTTAATTTAAATTATTTTCATAAAATTAGGCATTTTTTTTTAAAAAAAATTAGTAGATAATCGAAGTATTTTTTACATAATTTTTTGTTTAATTCTTCTTCATGAATTATACAAAGTTGCGCTACAAACCTTTTTTATTCACAAAATAAAGAAGTATTTCCCTTTATGGATAAGTAAATTATTATTTAGTTTTTATATTCGACTAATAATTTATTTTTGGAATAATTGCCTCTACATCAGTATCTTGTAAAACAATATTTAAAAAACGCCTAAATATTAATGTTATTGTTAAGTTTTTTTTTTTAAAAAAAAATAAATGGATAAATAAAACTACTTATTTTAAAAAATTAAATAATTTCACATATTATATAAAAAGAAAATTAAGTTTTATAGTTGATTATTGATTATTTTATAATATAAATTAAATATTTTTGTTTATAATTTAAAACAATATTGAAACAAAATTAAGTATTATTTTAATAATAAACAAATCTTATATTTATTACTTTATACATTTTTTGTTTAATAAAAAATAAAAATATATTTAATTAAAAAAAATATATATATTTTTTAATTAAAAAAGTAAATTTAATATTTAATAAAAAAAAATTTTAAAAAATAAAAAAATATTTAAATACTATTTATTTAAAATTTTTATAATATTATTTAAATATAAGCAATGGAATCAAATTATTATATTTTATTATTATTAAATATATTTGTTTATTTTTACTAACTGTTAAAAAAGAAATAAATCCTTAATTCAATATATTAAATAATACTAATTTAAAAAATTAATACTAAAACATTTATAAAAAAATAAAACTATATTATTAAAGTATAAAATATCTTATTAGAAATGATTTTTATAAATATATTTTAAACTAACCTATTTTATTTAAAATAATATAAAAATAATATAAGTATGCAATATAATAAGCAATAATTGTTAATAATATTATTATTGTTATAATTATATATATATAGATAAATTAATAATATTTATATTAAATAATTATATATTTCTTATATTATATAAATTATTATAAAAAATATTTTTTTTTTATTTAACTATAATGAAAAAATCAGTCACATAATCTATAAAATTTAAAAATAAAATAGTATGATAAAAATAATATTTTTTTTAATATTGAAAAAGAAATTATCATTATATTTAAGTTTAATAAAAATAAAATATTAATATAAATTTTTATAATAATTAATTATATAATAAATTAAATAAAAAATAATAATAAATAAGTATATAATATTTTTATTATTGTTATAAATTATTATAAATATTAAATATCAATTATTAATAAATAAAATAAAAATTATCTATATTACTAATAATTTTCTAAAAGAATTTAATTTTAGTGTTTTTTTTTTTTTTTAATAAAAATTAAATTTACTTAAAATAGAAGCATATTATATTTTTAAATTTAGAATTCAGATTATTAAATATTGTCTTTTTATTTATTTAGTGAATTTTATTTTTCAAAATTAATAATTTTATAATCAAAATAATAATAAATTTGTTTTATTAATTAAATTCTTATTGACTAAAAATCTGATTACATTTAATTATTATGAGTAATAAAAATTTAAAAATGACTTAAAATAAAATTAATTAAAATATTTATGAAATAAATATAACTGAAATTAAAAAATTAACTTCTATATCTTAAATATATATTTTATGTATTATAACAGATCTCAAATTAATTGTTTTAAATATCATTAATAAAATAAATTAAAAAAAGTTTATAAAATTTTTATGTTATTAAATATTTACATAGAAAATATAATTTTATTTAAGAAATTATTAATAAATTAAAAATACTTTATAAATGAAAATAAATAATATATATTATTTAATTCATAATATAAAATATAAACAAATAAATAATAATGAAAATGATAAAAATTATGAAAAAACAACTTTGCATTATTTAGCCTGGGAAGCAAACATAGGGTAATTTGCTTATGCGCCTGAAATCAAAATATTAGGACACGGAATACATATATCAGTACCTGCTATCCAACCATTTTACTTTCTAGTATAAAAATTAGCAGCACATTTAACACATTCGGATTTATCATTTTCAAAATTTGTTGTTTTTCCATTAAAAGTTACAGTACCGACAGGACATGCAACATCACATTATACATCTATTTTAGCATTATCACCTTAAGTGTGTTTAGCATCTAAAGTCTTTTTTATTGGACAAGCTGAGCATGTACTATAACCTGGATTAAAATTAGTATATTTATAATAAAAGTTAGCATCACAATAAGTACATTCATTTTTATTTTATACATAACTGGTTGCTCCATAAGCGGTTGCAGTGCCAGCAGGACAAGCAACGTCACATTATTTAACTATTGAAGCATTAGTGCCTGCAGTTGCTTATGAACCAGAAGCTTTTTTTACTGGGCAAACGTCACATCTGCTAAAACCTAATAAGAAAACAAAATCTTTAGTAGTTTCATAATAATAGTTAGCTTTACAAAAACTACATTCTTATTTTTATGCTACATATTTTGTTTTTCCAAGGGCAGTCTAAGTACCATCAGGACAATTATCATCACATTAAAGGGCTAATGTAGCTATACGACCTGGATTGGCTTAAGCACCTACAGTTTTAGAATATGTACATCTTCCGCATTAACTAACACCAGGAATGAAATCGGCAGAAGAACCATTAAAATAATAATTAGCTCTACAGTTAACACAATTTGCTATATTCCCTCGATCATTTCTTTAACCAGCAATATCAGTTTCAGTACCATAAGGACAGTTTGCAGCTTTTAATTCATTGAAAAATAAAGAAATAATCACAGTTATTAAAATATTTTTATTCATTTTTATCTTTTGTATAGTTTTTAATTTTATAATTATATTATAAACTAAAGTTAAAATGATTATTAATATTGGCGAAATTTCAAAAAAATTAATATTATTTTTAAAAATAAATAAAATAAAATAAATTTTATTTATAATTATTAAATAAAAGAATTAATTTTAAATACTTATATATTAAAAATAAATTATAAAATTTATTATTTCTTTTTATTTTATTTGTATTTATATTTAAATTTATATTTATAATTATATTAATATATATTTTTTTTAAAATAAATACTTATCAGATAATTTATTAGATATTATGTCATTAATATTATTATAATAAATAAAATATAAAAATCATATATAATATAAAAATATATAAATATTATTTATTAAAAAATCTAAATAATTAATTTTAATATATATTATTTATAGGCTTATAAAAATATCTTATATCCTTATTAATATAACAAATTATTAATTTTTTTTTATTTTTATTACTTATATAAATAAACTTTATATTTAAATATGAAATTTATTAATAAAAATATTTATTTTTAAAGAAATAGTTTTCAATTAATTATATAATTTAATATTATAGAATATTATTTTTATTAAATATTTTTTAAGCATTTAGATTTAAATGTTTCTTCTTATATTATTAATTGATTTTTTTTATAATATTTAATTATTTTTTATTAATTATATTCACAATTCTGCAAATATCTTTGCGATTATATTATTATTGATTTTTAATTCATGCATTTCTGTTATTTTCAAAAAATAAATACAAAATATAAAATCTAAATTATTCAACATAATCTTAAATATATGTAATAATTTTTTATTATTTTCTTTTAATTTAAAATCACAAAAAAAAAAAAAAAAATTAATATAAATAAAGTATAAATATTGGTAATTTATTTTAATAAAATCAGAAAAAAATAATTTAAAAATAAATTAAATATTATTATAATATAATTTAATTTAATTTAATTTAATTTAATTTAATTTAATTAATTTAATTTAATTTAATTTAATTTAATATATCATATACTAAATATTTAATTATTTTTAATTTATTAAATCATTAAATAAGTATAATAGTATTGTACATTTATTTCTTAATTTATACCAATTAAAATAAAATATTTTTTTTTTTTTTAATAATACTATATACTTTTATTAATTAAGAATTTAATAAACCTAAAAACATATAATTATATGTTTTTCGAAAACATTTAAATTACGATTTTAACTTATAAATAATTATATGTCTTTATTTAATTATTAATTTTGAGGATAAACTTACAACGTACTAATTCTAAATTCAAAAAATGTAAAAATAATAAATAATTGTTTTCTATTTATAACTTAATAATTATAAAATAGAATTATTAACAAAAAATGTCATTTTATTCTTTAATTTTTAAAATATTAATCAAAAAAAGGTTTATTTTTTAAAATTATATTTAAATAACATTTATAAATTTTTAATATTTATAATAATAATATTATCTAAAAATTATTGTTAAAAATATAAAATATTTATCTGTTGAGGAGTTGATTATATCATAGAGTTATAAATAAAAGTGCATTTTATTAAATATAAATTTTCGGAAATAATATTAAATGCTTTATAATATTTTTAATTCATCTATAATATTATAAATCGAAAAACATAATAATTTAAAATTTAAAATCGTAAATTATACTTGTTTTAATTTGCTTTAATTTTTAATTATATGTTTAGTATATTGTTCCTCTTATTTTATGTTATATTATTAAAACCTAATTTGTAATATAATTTCTTAATTTCTTTTCTTATTTTTATAATTTCTATATGATTATTTTGGTCTGGATAAATATTTATTTGTATATATTATTAATTAAATTTATAAAAAAAACAATATTTTAAATATTTTTTTTTACAATTTTTATAATAAATTTTAGTAATTATAAATTTTTAATCAATAATTAAAACAAATAATTATAATATAATTTATATAAAAATACTATATATAATACAATATTTTTTTATACCAATAAAATACATTTTTTCTTAATTAATAAAATTATTAATTTAAATTATAATAAATTAAATTGTTTAAAATTATATATGCTTCAATATATAATAATAATAAATTTTGGAATAGAACTTTAAAATAAAATTTATTAAAATCTTTATAAAAATAATAAATATGAAATTAAAAATAAAACTTCATTTTTCTTAAATTTACATTATTAGTCTTTATATAAAATAAATATAAATATTATAATATAATAATTACATATTTCAAATAAATTCTTTATAATATTATAAATAAAATAAATTAAAACAAGTTTATATAGTTTTTATATTTTTTCATATTTATATAAAAAATATATTTTTATATATGAAATTATTAATAATTTATAAAAACATAATCTATATTAAAACTAAAATTATTTATTTATTATTTTATTCATAACAAAAAATATAAACAAATAAATAATAATGAAAATTGTAAAAATTATGAATAAACAACTTTGCATTAAGCAGCCTTAGAAGCAAAAGAAGGGAAATTTGCTTCAGCACCTGAAGTTAAAATATTAGAACAAGGAATACATATATCAGTACCTGCTACCCAACCATTTTGTTTTGTAGTATAAAAGTTAGCAGCACATTTAACACATTCAGATGCTTTTTTAAAAAAATTAGTTGTTATTCCATTAAAAGTACAGTACCGACAGGACATGCAACATCACATTATACATCTATTTTGGCAATATCACCTTTAGTGTGTTTAGCATCTAAAGTCTTTTTTACTGGACAAGCTGAGCATGTACTATAACCTGGATTAAAATTAGTATATTTATAATAAAAGTTAGCATCACAATAAGTACATTCATTTTTATTTTATACATAACTGGTTGCTCCATAAGCGGTTGCAGTGCCAGCAGGACAAGCAACGTCACATTATTTGACTATTGAAGCATTAATGCCTGCAGTTGCTTAAGAACCAGAAGCTTTTTTTACTGGATAAACATTGCATTCACTATCACCTTCTGAGAAACCAAAAATATCACTTTGGAAATAATAGTTAGCTTTACAAAAACTACATTCTTATCTTTATGCTACATATTTTGTTTTTCCAAGGGCAGTCTAAGTACCAGCAGGACAATTATCATCACATTAAAGGGCTAATGTAGCTATACGACCTGGATTGGCTTAAGCACCTACAGTTTTAGAATATGTACATCTTCCGCATTAACTAACACCAGGATTGAAATTGGCAGGAGCACCATTAAAATAATAATTAGCTCTACAATTAACACAATTTACTATATTCCCTCGATCATCTCTTTAACCAGCAATATCAGTTTCAGTACCATAAGGACAGTCTGCAGCTTTTAATTCATTGAAAAATAATGAAATAATCAAAGTTATTAAAATTTTTTTATTAATTTTTATTTATTGTATAGTTTTTATTTTTAAAACATTATAAAATTAAATTAATATAAACATTAATAATATAAAATCTAGCACATTAAAAATAATATTTGTAAAAAAATTAAAATGAAAATTTGTTTGTTTATAATTTATATCTAAATGGTTTTATTTTCAATAATAAGATACACATTAATAAATTATTAAGTTTTTAATTAATTTTATATTTTTTATTTTAAAAAAAATACATATTTATTGCTAAAATTAATAAAAAAAATAATTTATGTATCATTATTTTAAAGATATAATAAATAAATAATGGAAATATAATTAATTTGAAAATCTAAAACTTTACTTTAAATAAATCACATAAATTTGTTTATAAAAAAATATGTCAATTATTATTACGTAATTAATTTTATTTTTAATAAAAGAAATTATTATATTAATACTCTAATAATTGAAATATATAATTATATGTTAATTTTAAACATATAAAATTAACATTAATTTATTAAATATAATTTTTTATATAAAAAAATATTTATTTAGAATTTTTATATTTATTTTATAATTAAAAATAAAACCTAAAATAATTTCTTTTTTATTATTTAATTTAAAAAATAGATTTTTTTTTATTATTATAAATTATTTTTAATGTATTGATTGTAATTTTACTTCATAATAATTTATTTACTAAATATTATATTATTATTGACTTTCACAACAACAACAAAAAATTAATTTGGGCCTAAAATTATGATTTATTTTTTGCATTATATTTTCTATTAATTTCCAAAATAAATATATAATTAATATTTATTATTTTCTTTTAATATTCTAATTATATATATATATCATTTATATTATAAAATTATGAAATTATTTTTTTAAGACTTATATATTAAAAAGAATAAAAATTATAAAATAATTTTTTAAAATAAATAAAATAAAATATAAGAAATTAAATTAAATAAAATAAAAAATAATATTTTATTTTTAAAATAAAAAATTAATATAATATAATTAATTTATTTAGCTAAATTTTAAATTATTTGTTTATACAGATATTTTTTATACTATTAAAGCATTAAATAAGTATAAAAGTTAGTTAGACTTATTAGAATAAGTAAATTTTATTAATTATAATATATATACACTTTGTTCAAACAATTAAAATAAAATATATTGTTTTTTTTTAAATAAAAATGTTATTTACTTTTATTAAATAAATTGTATTGTTAATATGTCTAAAAAAAATATAATAATATGTAAATAAAATAATAATATTTCAGATTTAAACTTAAAATTATTTTTATGTCTTTAATTAATCATTAAATATGAAAATATATACTAATTAGTAATATTTTAAATATAATTAAATGCAAAAAATAAAAAATAGTTTTTATATATATATTTATAACTTGATAATCATAAAATAAAATCTTTATAAAATTGTCATTGTATTCACTAATATTTAAAATTTATATAAAAATAAGGTTTATTTCTATAATTTTGTTTATTAATATTAAATATTTATAATATTAATATCAAAATTATTTTATAAAATAAAAAAGATATATCTAATGAGAAGTTCGCTTATTTTAAACGGATGTAAATAAAAGTAAGCTTTATAAAATAAGCATTTTTAAATTAATTACATATATTAAAATTGATTTAATTTATCAATACTTTAATAATAATAAAAAGCATAATTATTTTATATTTAAAATCATAAATTATATTTTTTATAATTTATTAATCATATATTTAGTATGTTATTCCTTTTATTTTATTTTATGTTATTTTATTAAAATTTAATATCTATTTCATTTTATTATAGGATTATATTTAAATATGATCTTTATAAGTCATTACTTATTTTTTATATGTCTATTTTATTATTTTCGTGTAAATAAATATTTATTGATAAATCATAAATTATTTTTTTTATTATTTAAATTATAAAATTAAGAAATTTTATCTTTTATCTTATTATTTTATAAAAAATTAAATATTGTAAAAAGTATATATATTTTTTATTTTAATCACGAAAATTAATATACACTTATTTTTATGAAAATTTATATAATTATTTAAAGATTTGCATATTTTTTATAATTTTTGAAATATAAAATTAACATATCTTTATATCTTTAATATTTATATTATTTTATTTTTAAATAAATTATAAAATTAAATAAAATGTAAAAAATATTTATGAAATATTATTTATAAATTAAATATAATTTTTGTTAATCTAAAAAATTAGATCAAAATATATTAATAAAATAAATATAATTTTAAAATTAATTTTTTTTTTATTTATCTATTAATAATTTCAAATAAAAACTATTTAAAAATAAAAAAAATAGATTATTTAGATATATAATATATAGATAAATATTATTTGATAGTATTAATAATTTTTTTATTATACTTTATTTTTAAAAGAAAAAACTAAATCAAAATAATGATCGGGTTTCATAAAAAATATTTTGATTTTTAATTATGTATATAAAAAATAATTAAAAAAAATAAATAAAAAAAATGATTAAGTAAAATTTATATATAATAATTAATATATATAAATATATATATATATATTTTATATATTTATATTTATATATTTATATATGTATTTATATTTAATTATATATTCATTTCATTTCATTTAATATTTATTTATTTTTTTTTTAGATTTATAAAAAACATTTTTTTTTTATTAAATATATATAAATTAAATTTATTTTCATATTTTAAAAATATTATTTCTCTTTTTTATTAAATATAATAATATTTACATAAAATTTATATTTTATCAAATTTTATTAAATTAAATAATATCTCACATATCATATAATAATATTTTTCATTTAAAAAAATTAAAAGTATTTATATATATTACAAAATATATAATAGTTTTTCATCTCTTCTTATAATTATAGTAAAATTATTAATTATAAAATATATACAATATAATTATATATATTTTTCAGAATTTTTTTTTAGTTTAAGAAAACTCATATCTCTCTATCCTAATCAAATAAAATTTTAAAAGTTTATAATATTTATAATTGTAAAATAAGTTCATAATAAGAATATAAATATTTATTTTATTTCTAATTAAAAATGAAATACAAAATAATTTTGATATTTTATTATTAATTTATAAAAAATAATTGATTTTTATTATTTAATTTATTGGTTTATTCTTAAATAAAAATAATTTTATTATAAAAAATATTAAAAAATAATATAATTATAATAATATATTTTATATTAAGAATATAATATTTAAAAAATATATTAATAATTAATTAAATTAAATTTTTTTAAATTATATAACAAATTATAATATTTGATAAATATTTTATAATTTTTAATATTATTTATATATATAATAAAAAGAATTTTTAATATATTTATTTTATATATAATATTATATAAATTTTAATGAAAAATTTATTGAAATTATCTAAAACTAATATAAAATTATATTCATTTAATATTTTCTTATATATAAACTAGTAATATATTTTAAAAACATTCATTAATTATAAAATCAATCGTTAAATATATTTTATTAAAATTTTTTTTTTTTATTATTTTACTTGAAATTTTTAATAATTACATTAATAATAAATTTGGAATATATTTAATACATTAATTTATGTTTTCTTTAAATAAATAAAATAATATTTGTGTATTTATATTAATTAAAAAAAATTAATAGGATAAAAGTTCTAATTAAAAAAATATTATTAGAGAATTAAATATCTTAATTAGAAATAATTCTATTTAATATATTTTTAACTAAATAAATTTTATTAAAAGATAATAAGAAAAAAAATACTAAGAAATATAATTAGTATAAATTGTTAATAAAATTATATAATATAATTAAATAGATAAATTATTTAAAATTTTCATTTAAAAATTATATATTTAATTTTCAATATTAGCTAATATTAATAATTTTTTTTTCTTATATAATTAATATCAATAATTCAATCACATAATCTATAAAAAATTTTATAAAACATTATAAAAAATTATTTTTATTATTATTGAAATAGTAATAATCTTTATTATTAAGATTTTTGAAAAAATAAATTAATAAAAATTTTATAATATATAATTAATAAATTTTTATAAGACATTATAAAAATAATTAATAATTTATTTTTAAATTTATATAATATTTTAATATTGGATGGAAAAAAAAAAAATATATTTATTAAAAAATAATGTATAATAATTTTTAAATAATTTTAGTTTTTTATATAAATAAAAAAATTTATTATATTAAATATATAAAATATATTGAAATTTATTATATAGATTTTATAAATATATTACTTTTTAAACTAATGAATATTATTATTAAAAAACAAATAATTTTTGTATATAAAATAAAAAAACTATTTAATTTAATAAATATTATTACATTTTACATTAATAATATATTATTTAAAACTTCGAATATATTTATTAATTAATTAATAAAAAAAAAATATATATTAATTTTACAAAAAAATATTTAATTAACCTTTAAATATACATTTTTTAATAAAAAACTATATAAAAATTTAAAATAAAATAAATTAAAAAATTTAAAATAAATATATAATTATTAAAATATGCTTTTTGTTAAAAAACATATATATAAATATATAAATATATATATATATATATATATATTATATATATATAAATATTTTTATATTTGTTTACATAAATAATATTACTTATAGTAAAATATCTTTTTAAAATATTTATTTCATATTAATTTTTTAAATATTATATTTATAATAAATTTTAAAGAGTTTTTTATGTTTTTTTATATTATTTATTATTTATAAAAAAATATATTTTTATATAAAATATAAATTATCTTTTAAATTTTTTTTTTTTCTTATCATAAAAAATATAAATAAATAAATATTAATGAAAATTATATAAATTAAGAGAAAACTTTAGCAGCACCAGTTATTCTACATTATTTTTCTTAATTAGCAGTAGCAGGGAAATTTGCTTCAGCGCCAGAAGTTAAAATATTAGAACAAGGAACACATATATCAGTACCTGCTACCCAACCATTTTGTTTTGTAGTATAAAAGTTTGCAGCACATTTAACACATTCAGAAACATTATTACTAAAATTAGTTGTTATTCCATTTAAAAGTACAGTACCAGCAGGGCATTTAATTTCGCATTACAAATCTATTTTAGCTAAATCAGCTTTATTGTGTTTAGCACCTTAAGTCTTTTTACTTAACAAGCTGTGCATTCACTAAAACCTGATACAAAAGTAATAAGACTATTATAAAAGTTAGCATTACAATTAACACATTCTATTCTATCTTATACAAAACTAGTTGATCCAGTAGCAGTTACAGTGCCATCAGGACATGTAACGTCACATTATTAGGCTAATGAAGCGTTAATACCTGCAATTGCTTCAGCACCTGAAGTTTTTCTTACTGGACAAGCATCGCATCCGTCACCACCTGCTCTGAAAACATTAATTTCACTATAGAAATAATGGTTAGCTTAACAAAAACTACATTCTTGTCTTTATGCTAAATAATTAGTATTTCCAAGGGCCGTTTAAGTACCATCAGGGCAATCAGATTTACATTAAAGGGTTAATGTAGCTATTCTACCTGAATTGGCTTATGCATCTTCAGTTTTAATATCGATGCAGGGCATGCATTAACTAACACCAGGATTGAAAGTAGCAGGAACACCATTAAAATAAAAATTAACTCTACAGTTAACACAATTTGTTGGATTTCCTCCATCATCCCTTTAATTAGCAACATTAGTTTCAGTACCATTAGGACAAAGGGTAGCTTTTAATTCAGTTAAAAATAATGAAAAAATTAAAGTTATTAAAATATTTTTATACATTTTTATTTTTTATATAATTTATTTTTATATTCTTAATTACATTATAAATAAAAGTTAATGTGAATATTAATATATGAGAAATTTAACTCATAATAAAACGTTTTTTTTGGAAAAAAAATCGAAAATTAATTAATTTTACTTATAATTAAAATTTAAATTCTTTTATTAATAAGATGAAAAATGAATATATTATTTAATTTTTATTTTATTTTTTTTAATTATAAAAAAAAATTATCATATTATTTAAATATAAAAAAACAATAATTTTTGTATCATTATTTTAAACATAAAATAAAAAAAGGGAAATATTATTAATAAAAATATCAAAGTAATTAGTATCAATAAATAAAATTTATTTGCTTGTAAAAAAATAGTATAATTAATAAAACTAAATTTATTTTAATTTATTTACAAACAAAATTATTATGTTTTGTTTTTAATTTTATAGAAATAATAATTTTATATTTAATTTCATAATAAAAAAAATAATTTATATTATTTATATCTGATTTTATATTAATAAAAATGTTTATTTGTATCTTTGTTTATATTTTTAATTATAGATAATTTTTTTTCTATTATTAAATATTTTTTATTGTATTAATTCTAATTTTTTTATATTATAATAAATTTAACTAATGTCAAAATTAATTTTTAACTAATCTTATAATTTATTTTAATTTCATATTTGACTATTATTTTCTAAAATAAATACGTAATACAAAAGCTATATGTAATATAAAAATAAAATATAATAATTTTTTAAATTTTTCTTTTAATTTTATAATAAAATAGATTTTAGTATATTTAATTATTTGAAATAATGATAATTTTTTTTGGCTTTGATATTTAAAAGAATAAAAATTATAAAAAAAAAAGTAAATAAAATACAATATTAGAAATTATATTAAATATTATAATAAACAATATTTCATTTTTAATATAAAATATTCATATAATATCATTAATTTATTTGTAGCTAAATTATAAATCATTTTTTTATAATATTAAAGCATTAAATAAGTACAAAAGTAAATTATATTTATTTAGTTAAGTAAGATTTATTAATTATAATGTATATTTGTTCAAACAAATTAAAATAAAATATATTGTTCTTTTTTTAAAAAAAAGATTATTTACTTTTATTAAATAAATTGTTAATATATCTAAAAAAATATAATTATATGTAAATAAAAAGATGAAAATTCTGATTTTAAAATATGGAAATATATAATACTTTGTACTATTTTAAATATAAAGAAATGCAAAAAATAATAATAGTTGTTATATATATATTTATAAATTCATAATCATAAAATAAAATTATTATAAAATTATCATTGTATATTTTCAATATTTAAAATTAATGAAAATAAAGTTTATTTCTTTAATTTTATATATTTATGATATTAATATCAAAATTATTTTATAAAATAAAAAAAATATATCAGATAAGAAGTTCGCTTATATTAAGCGAATGTAAATAAAAGTAATTTTTATAAAATAAACATTTTTAAAATAAATTACATATATTATAATAAATTTAATTCATAAATAATTTAATAATCATAAAAAGTATAATTATTTTATATTTAAAATCATAAATTATATTTTCTTAAATTTATTATTCATATATTTAGTATGTTATTCCTCTTATTTTATGTTATATTATTTAAATTTAATTTACATTTAGTTTTATTATTAAATTTAATTTAAATATAATCATAAAAATTTATTTCTTATTTTTCATATGTCTATTTTATTATTTTGGTGTAAAAAATTATATATTGGTAATTATTAATAAAATTTTCAAAATAATATTATATATATATATATTTTTACTTTTTTATATTAAAATTTTAGAAATTATGAATATCTAATTAATTATGTAAAAAAAAATTAAATTAAATTAATTTTTTTCATATTTTTTTTATTCTATTTAATAATATTATTAAACTAACAAATAAATTCTTGTCTTAATTTTTTTATAAAAAAATTAAATATTGTATATATTATTTATATGGTTAATTTTAATCACTAAAATTATTATTCACTTATTTTATTTTATAAAATTCATATAATTATTTTAAAGATTTGTATATTTTTTTAATAATTTTAAGAAAAAAATTAAAAATGTAGTTAGTGTAATAAAAAATAGTTCAAAGGTTTTAATTTTTTTTATAAATGTATGATTAGATTAAAATATTAAATCATTGATTAGTAGTTTTTTGTTTTAATTAGAAAATAATTTGTATTTTTTATATTTTATTTGTATTATTTTAAACATATATAAAAATATAAAATAATTTAATTGTTTTCTTAAATATAGTTTTATTTACTAAATTTTTCAATGTTTTTAAGCTTATTTTTATTTTAAAGTTCTTAAAGTCATTATTAATTTATGTCTAAAATTTAAAATACATCAGTAATGTAAAAAAAACAGCTAAAATATAATTTATTAAATAAACATCATATAAAGTATAAATATATAATATTTATAATAATAGAAAATTATTTTTGGAGATTTTTCCAAAACATTAAACTTTCAAATTCTAAAGTTTAAATGAGTAAATTATAAGTTTATATATAAAATTTTAGATATATAAGAAATTGTTAAATATAGTTTGATTTCGATTTTTTTTTCTTAGTAATTTAATTTTTATTACATAAAGAATTTCGAATTTAAATTATTAGAGTAAAATTTAAAAAAATTTAAATAATTTAAATATCATTTATTAATCATAGATATTTTTAAATTAATAATTCAACTAATAATAAAAAATATTAATTTTTTTATTATAAGAATATATTTATTTCAATTAATGCTATAAATTATTTTATCAGTTTATATCTTAGTTAATAATAAATACTTAAGAGAATATTTAAATACTCCAAACATAATAAAAGAGATAATATTTTTTTATATATAAAGTGAAATAATTTAATTTAAATTTTATAATTTTTTTTTTTTTATTTTGTAAAGTTTGACTTAAAGATTATAATTTAATAACATTTATATTATAATTAAAATATTTTTTTTATTTAAATATTCTATTATTATTAAAAACAAATATACAATAAGGATAATTTATTTAATTATCAATATTATTATTTTAAATTAATTAATATTTTTATTATTTATTAAAAAACTAAAAACTATTTTTTATTTAATTTATCTTCTAAGTTTTACAGATTTTTAAAAAGCGAATTTATTGCAATTCTCCTTTTCTAAATAAAAAAAATTAAAATTTATCTTTATAAAATTATTAATATATTTAATTTTTTTTTTTTTTTTTTTTGCATATAAATGTTCTTTATGTAAAAAAAATTCTATTTAAATAATTTTATTTAATGAATAAAAAATGCATATATAAAAAATTTCAAGATTAAAAGTTAAAAAATAATATAGTTATCTTAATTTAAACCTAAATTTAAAACTAAAATTTAAATTTATAGATTGTGTTATGTTAATTTTATTTATTAAAATATAGATTGAAATTTTAAAACCTAATAAACATAAATCAAAATCAATAATGAACATATATTTATATAAAAAAAATATAATTTTTAAATATATATTTTTTTTTAGTTTCTTTAATATATTTTATTATAAGAATCAAACAAAAAATAATGTTGCTTAAAAACTATATATAAAATAATACAATATAATATTATAATATTTATGAAATTAAAATATAATATTTTATTATGTTAACATTATGGTGTCTATAAATCATTTGTAACTTTTAAAATTTACAGAATATATTATTACTACTTAAGAAACTTATTAATATATAGAAAAATATTTTTTATAAAAAAATAATCGATTGCTAATCTATAATAATTTTTCTTTTAAATAAATTATATAAGCTTATTTTGTTTAATTCTTATATATATTTGTAAAATATTATTTATATATTATATATAATTAATTTTTTAAAGATAAAATAAATAATATGATATTAATCAAAAAAAAAATTATTTTGTATTATTATTAAATAAAATTCTTTTATTAATAAAAATTAAAAATTTTCAATAAAAGCTTTATTTTAAAAATTTCTTATATACTTATAAAGTTTTTTTTAATAAAAAAATATTATTTTATTTAATTTATTATACATCTAAATTCTTAGTTTTCTTAAAATACTATTAACAGCTTTATTTTATTTTTTTACATAAATTATTTAATTTATTTTAATTTATATTTATTTTATTTTAATATATATACATGTAAACAAAATATAATTTTTTATACTTAAAAATAACAATAAATAAATTTTATGAATTAAATTTTATTATTTAAATCTTTTATGTTTTTTTAATTACAAATACATTATATTTGCTAATTTCATTCTATAAATTAAAAGAGTAAAAATCACGTATTTATTTTTATTAAATTAGAAATAAAAAATGCACTTTTATTGCAATTTTTAAATAATTCTTTAAAAATTACAAACAAAAATTCTTCTAAAAAGTGTTTTATAAGTTATTGTATAATTATAATTTATATAAAAAATATTTATAAATTTTTGATTTTTTAATTTTTAAAACTTAACATAAACAAAATAAACAATACTTATTATTCCATTCATCATAATAAATAATAAGAAATCAATAATAAGGAAATTGATAAAAAATTAGCGAAATCACATTATATACTTTTTTTAGCAGATTCAGGTAAATTAGCTTCAGCGCCAGAAGTTAATTTTTTATTACAACTAGTACATGTATCAATACCTGCTACCCAATCAGTTTATTTTGTAGTATAAAAGTTGGCAGCACATTTAACACATTCAGATGCTGCTTATTTATAAGTAGATGTTGTTCCATCGGTGAGTACAGTACCAGCAGGGCATTCAAGGGCACATTATGCAATTAAAGTAGCAGTACCACCTGCAGTTGCTACAGCGCCTTAAACTTTATTTGCTGGACATGCTTTGCATCTACTACTTCCTGCCTAGAAATTATTACCATCAAAATAAAAGTTAGCAGCACAATTTAGACATTCTGTTTATAATGCTACATAATTAGTTGCTCCACTAGCAATTGCAGTACCATCAGGGCATGCAATATTACATTATTTGGCTAAAGTAGCGGCACCACCTGCAGTGGCTTCAGCACCATAATCTTTATTTGCTGGGCAAGGTAGGCATGTACTATTACCTGGATTGAAATTAGGAACATTATTATTGTAAAAGTTAGGAGCACAATTAGTACATTCAGTGTTTTGTGCTACCCAATTATTTACTCCAGCAGCACTTATAGTACCATCAGGGCATGCAACGTTACATTATGCGGTTATTGTAGCATCATTACCTAAAGTAGCTTAAGCAACATTAGCAGGTTTAATTGCCGGACAAGGTGTGCATTAACTTTTACCTGGATTGAAAGGAGTATTACCATTATTACCATTATAGTAAAAGTTAACTCTACATTTAACACATTCTGTGAATGATCTAACATAATCAGTAGTTACTCCATCATCAAGTGCAGTACCAGTAGGACATGCGACGTTACATTATGCGACTATGGTAGCGGCATTACCAGCATTCAATGCACCACCAACTCTGTTTACCGGACAAGCTGTGCATGTACTAGCACCTGCATTAAAATTTGGAGCATTTTCATTATAAAAATTAATTCTACAATTAACACATTCTGTGATTATTGCTGCATAATCTGTTGCTCCACCTGCAATTGCGGTACCAGCAGGGCATTTAACGTTACATTATGTGACTAAATTAGCAGTAGCAGGTGGATTTGGTTAAGCACCAGCATCTTTTTTTTATGGACAAGGTGTACACGTACTAGCACCAGGAACGAAAGCAGCAGCATTATTATAATAAAAGTTTTTCTAACAATTAACACAATTTGCAGGATTTCCTAGATCATCAACTTATCCGGCTGTGTTAGTTTCAGTTCCAACAGGACAATTAGCAGATTTAATTTAATTGATAAATAATGAAATAATCAAGATTACTAAAATATTATTTTTCATTTTTTTTTTAAATATATATAAATAATAATTTATGGAATTTTATATGAAATAAATATAATTATTAATAAAATTTTATTTTTAATAACTCTAAAATAAATTTATTTAGATATTAGTTATCTTAATGTTTAGATTTTTAATAAATAAAATATTATTATTTATATTGTATTACATATGCTTTTTTTAAAAAAAAATTAATCATACAATAATTTTTATGAAATTAATAATTAATTTTTTATTTATATTTTTATAAATATTTTTTCTTCTAAAAATTTATAATAATTTTTATATGGTACTTATTACTTATATTATTTCTTTTAATAAAAATAAGATATCATAAAATTATGAATTTTAAATTTTTTTTTGTATAATGATTTTTATATTATCCTAAATAATTAATATACAATATTATTTTAATTATTTTATTTTTTATAAATTATATTCACATTTTAAAAATTATAGTGATGTCAACATTATGACTGATTAATATTACATATTCTTCTGTATTTTCAAAAATAAATAGTCAGAATAAAAAAATTAGTTATATAGCACAAACATCAATATAATAATTTTGTTATTTATTTCAAATTAAAAAATTATATATTGAAAGATTTATTCTTTTGAAATTTAAATAAATTATTTATATGGAATAGCAATTAAATATGTAAAAATAATAAAATATAAATTTCTAATGTATAAAAAACAAAATATTATATAATTAATTAAATAATAAATTACAAATAATATTTAATATTTTATTTAAATAAAATTAAAAATTATTATTTAAATTTATAAATTTAATTAACTTTAAATATTTAATTATTCAAAATTTCATATTAAATAAAAGCATTTTAAAGAATTGTAAAAATGATTTAATAGAGTTATTTTCAAACTAATAATCAATAGCCTTTATTTTATCATTATTTTTTTATATAAAATAAATTAAATTAATATACTTTAATATTTTTAATGGCAAACAAATTTAAATAGTAATGAAATTTTTGAAATTTAATTTCAGTATTTATGATATAAATAAAATGAAATTTATTTTCAAATTCTTTTAAAATATATAAAATACAAAATATTAATCTCTATTAAGAAACTTTTTATACCATATCAAAGTAAAAAATATGAAATTTATTAATTAACAATCCAACTTTTTATTAGCCTAAATTTTTGTATGGAATGAACAATATATTTTATTTGATATATATATTATATTTATAATTTATAAAATATTTATAAACCAAATATTAATTAAAAAAGTTTCATTTCATTTATTGGCAAAAAATGAATTTATTTTTATAGATAATTATAAAATAAAAACTTCTTAAGTAATAATTATTAAATAAAAAATATAAGTATTGAATTTAAATTTAAATATAAATAAAAAATAATATTAGAAATATTAATATATTTATTAATAAATAATTT